TGTAATCATCTCACAACTCGAACACGGCCACCTTGTAATCATCTCACCGAGTAGAACACGGCCACCTTGTAACCATCTCACCGAGTCGAACATGGCCACCTTGTAATCATCTCACAACTCGAACACGGCCACCTTGTAATCATCTCACCGAGTAGAACACGGCCACCTTGTAACCATCTCACAACTCGAACACGGCCACCTTGTAACCATCTCACCGAGTCGAACACGGCCACCTTGTAACCATCTCACCGAGTCGAACATGGCCACCTTGTAACCATCTCACCGAGTCGAACACGGCCACCTTGTAACCATCTCACAACTCGAACACGGCCACCTTGTAACCATCTCACCGAGTCGAACACGGCCACCTTGTAACCATCTCACCGAGTCGAACACGGCCACCTTGTACTCATCTCACCGAGTCGAACATGGCCACCTTGTAACCATCTCACCGAGTCGAACACGGCCACCTTGTAACCATCTCACAACTCGAACACGGCCAGCTTGTAACCATCTCACCGAGTCGAACACGGCCACCTTGTAACCATCTCACCGAGTCGAACACGGCCACCTTGTAACCATCTCACCGAGTCGAACACGGCCACCTTGTAACCATCTCACCGAGTCGAACACGGCCACCTTGTAACCATCTCACAACTCGAACACGGCCAGCTTGTAACCATCTCACCGAGTCGAACACGGCCACCTTGTAACCATCTCACCGAGTCGAACACGGCCACCTTGTAACCATCTCACCGAGTCGAACACGGCCACCTTGTAACCATCTCACCGAGTCGAACACGGCCACCTTGTAACCATCTCACCGAGTCGAACACGGCCACCTTGTAACCATCTCACAACTCGAACATGGCCACCTTGTAACCATCTCACAACTCGAACACGGCCAGCTTGTAACCATCTCACCGAGTCGAACATGGCCACCTTGTAATCATCTCACCGAGTCGAACACGGCCACCTTGCAACCATCTCACCGAGTCGAACACGGCCACCTTGCAACCATCTCACCGAGTCGAACATGGCCACCTTGTAATCATCTCACAACTCGAACACGGCCACCTTGTAACCATCTCACCGAGTCGAACATGGCCACCTTGTAATCATCTCACAACTCGAACATGGCCACCTTGTAACCATCTCACCGAGTCGAACATGGCCACCTTGTAATCATCTCACAACTCGAACACGGCCACCTTGTAATCATCTCACCGAGTAGAACACGGCCACCTTGTAACCATCTCACCGAGTCGAACATGGCCACCTTGTAATCATCTCACAACTCGAACACGGCCACCTTGTAATCATCTCACCGAGTAGAACACGGCCACCTTGTAATCATCTCACCGAGTCGAACACGGCCACCTTGTAATCATCTCACCGAGTCGAACACGGCCACCTTGTAACCATCTCACCGAGTCGAACACGGCCACCTTGTTACCATCTCACCGAGTCGAACACGGCCACCTTGTAACCATCTCACAACTCGAACACGGCCACCTTGTAACCATCTCACAACTCGAACACGGCCACCTTGTAACCATCTCACCGAGTCGAACACGGCCACCTTGTAACCATCTCACCGAGTCGAACACGGCCACCTTGTAACCGATTCACAAAATCGAACACGAACACCTTGCAACCATCTCACCAAATCGAACACGAACACCTTGTAACCATCTCACCGAGTCGAACACGGCCACCTTGTAACCATCTCACCGAGTCGAACACGGCCACCTTGCAACCATTTCACCAAATCGAACACGAACACCTTGCAACCATCTCACCAAATCGAACACGAACACCTTGTAACCGATTCACAAAATCGAACACGACCACCTTGCAACAATCTCACAACTCGAACACGACCACCTTGCAACCATCTCACCAAATCGAACACGGCCACCTTGCAACCATCTCACAACTCGAACAAGACCACCTTACAACCATCTCACAACTCGAACACGACCACCTTACAACCTTCTCACAACTCGAACAAGACCACCTTGCAACCATTTCACAACTCGAACAAGACCACCTTACAACCATCTCACAAATCGAACACGACCACCTTGCAACCATCTCACAACTCGAACAAGACCACCTTACAACCATCTCACAACTCGAACAAGACCACCTTACAACCATCTCACCAAATCGAACACGAACACCTTGTAACCGATTCACAAAATCGAACACAAACACCGTGGAACCATCTCACAACTCGAACAAGACCACCTTGCAACCATCTCACAACTCGAACACGACCACCTTGCAACCATTTCACCAAATCAAACGCGGCCACCTTGCAACCATCTCACAAATCGAACAAGACCACCTTGCAACCATCTCACATATCGAACACGGCCACCTTGCAACCATCTAACCAAATCGAACACGGCCACCTTGCAACCATCTAACCAAATCGAACACTGCCACCTAGTAACCGATTCAAGTTGAAGGGGGTGATAATTTTAAAAGTTGAATCGAGAAACTACAATCGATTTTCCTAGCAGTAAGGTCGACCTTCCAGACACAAACTGACACGCCCGCACACTGTTTATCACACCGTTACGTCCCGTAGGTGACGATACATAAAAAGTTCAAATTACTATTTCGCAGCCCATTAAAATATATTGTTTAATTTAGTCACACAAAAGACTGAGTAATTGACGTATCTCAAGGCATGTCTTCTCCTTAAACCCTACAAGACCGTTCACCCCAGCGGGAGACACTGATTTACGACCACGGCATTGTATAGAATACCATCAGTGTGGATATGCCCCGGGGGCAGCGACTCAGTGTGTGTGTGTGTTTGGGGGAGGGGGTGTGAGGGGTGCGTAAGCTGTTCCTAGCTGTATGCTATAGGGCCCCTTTTGAACAATGCAAAATACTAAATATGTAAATGTGAAAATAAAAATATAACTAAATCAAATCGTCACATGTTTCTGACCACTTCATTTGCCTTTGCATGTATTTATGACGGGTGGCATCGGTGGGGCAGAGCACCTGGTATCGTCACTATTCGGTATTGATTCATTAACACATGCTTGTGAAATAATAAATAAATAAAACACGACATACCAAACGTAAATTGTCTTGCGAACTTGTGTTCATCAAGCAAGTTGTATATTTATGTTTGTTACATTTATGTATTCTTTATTATTTCGTTGAGACGGCGGTTTGATTCCAAGAATTGGTACAATGTGTAAATATTAATATCCTGGCACATTGCTAAAAGCGGCGTAAACCAAAACAAAAGTCACGGCGTTAAACAACAAACGAACAATGTTACTATACACCCTGAGGTAAGTCTTTTTATTATATACATATGAATGAAATACTGGAATTTATCAGTGACGATAGATCAAGTTATCAGTCACTAGTGACTGATATAAAAACTTATATCAGTCACTAGTGCCTGATATAAACAAGGTGCCGGAACTACTTTCTCCTAAATTAAAACATTAAAGAGTTATCCATTTTAAACAGGAATGTTTAATTATGACAAACAAAAATGTCCACGGAACTTAATACTCGATATGAAATAATATATTTCGCATAACATATATTGACAGGGCTAGTTTTATTCACGAACTATATTCTTTTCGCAAACCCCCTTTATACGGCGTTGGTAAAGGGGCGACAGGGAGAACTTAGTAATTTATCAGACACTGTTTTCGAAAAAATATATAAATTGCAAGTAATAAAAATAAAACATGTATATAATAAATAGAAAATTCAATGTGTTTTCTCAAATACCACTTTTATCTCATCTCTGCGTCACTCGTGAAAATATTAGACTCTCCCCAATTCACGAGATGAGAAAAAAGTGGTATTTGATCCTCTATATCCTCTATGTTTTAACTGTCACGATTAAGTGAATGAATAATGTCACCTTTATTACACTGTACAAGGTCAGGAGCCATCTTCTATAACAAATCTGAGATAAACAGGGATATCTATGATTTTAGCGATGTTCAAAATGATCTTTCATGCTGTATTTCACTGAAGTTGTTACACGAAACGAGAAAGGAGTCTTTTTGCCATCGTGTGTAATGATGCTTGAAGTTAAACTATATAAGCATGTTTGAGCTAATTTTAGTATTACCAGGTGAAATGCACACAATATTAAGATATGTTCATATTAACGTTGTGTATAATACATGCAAGTGTTATCGAAATTTGAATAACATCTCTCACAAGATTGATTAAACTGTTCTCTTGCACCATATATATTTTTACATGTGCATGACATGAGGTTAGACATGTTTTTTGTTGTCAGTGGCGGGAACGGGCGTCATGATCAAGATTGCGACTTGTCTGATTGTGTTTTATCCTACCTCCACGGTGTGGGAAAGTGCTCATGATATCAACCACTGGCTCAGACTCTATCATTTACAAACCTCCAAACACTTTTTAATCAAATCATCTCACTTTCGTGAGACAGGTATCATGGTGTTCTGTCTTGTGTAAAAAATATTATTCTTGTTGTCTGTTAAACGCTTGCAAATAGACCATCACCATTTGTCTAGCCTAACACCAGTTATTTCCAAGTTGAACCAGGAGGAAGGATCGTTGATTCTGGCCTACTGAAAATTTCAAATTTAAAATTTAGTATTATAGTTATAGGTATGATAATTATCAAAGATGTTGAATTGGCTGGCACCAAGATTTCTTGTTTGCACTTGCACTTCTGACATGGTCGGGTTACAATAGGTGAAACGGTTTGATTTTTCGAACTTCAAGGGACAAACTACCTTCGGACAAATCAATGACCCCAGATGAATGTTTTACCACATAGTTGCACTGTTTTAATCTCCTAAGAAAAGCAGCATGGATCATGTTTAAATATTTGTATAAGGCTTCCCGAAAACCGATAAAATCAGTTTACTGTGACAAACTACAGTTAAGCCAATGTGTGGTGGTATTCTGGTCAAAGGGCGTTAAGCGTATGACATTCCCATAAGCTTCAGTGGATAGAAATGGCAGTAGAGCGGGTGACGGGTGAAAGATCAGTGTGTCATAAATATACATAAAACGATATCCTAACGGACACGTTAATGACGCGGTGCACACTGTTCTCACGGTGAAAAGGGTCGTTGTTTATGTTAATGCATGTTTGGAATAGATAATTACGCTTGTAGTAAAACCTATAGAAGTGGCATACTTGTCAAGGTTACTGCTGTGCAGCGTCGGGCAACAAACAAACACTTACGTTTTTATGAGATTTGAGTGCTGCTGGGTGGGCAAGGCATGCTTTGCCTGTCCGCGAACACCTGGTGTTATCACTGATTTTTCAGTGATCTATTCGTGTAATATTCTCCGCTATTTTACCCTTTACGCCCAATGGGATCTGTTTCGGCGGATATTCGAAACTGGTTGTTTTCTTGCGTTGACCTTGTATATTTACATTAAACAGATCGCGCCACATGGTCAAAGTTTAATAATCCTTATACTGTATATTTACTAGCTATTGTGGTGAGTGATTATAGACTTAATTTAATTTGTGGTCAGGAATATATAACTTTATTTCTGTCAAACTTGTTTACGAATCCACCTACTCCAAAACAATTATATGGAAAAAGCAGGGGTACCGCCGACCAGGAATAGGTCAAATGTTGAAAAAAGCTCATTTACCGTCAATATAAATAAATTATTTAAAATACTTTAGATAATACCTGTTGCAAATGTAATGTAATATATATATATATATATATAAAATAATAAAGTCCACGTTAGTCCATCATCTTCTTTATATCAGTTTCATACATAGTACTTTCGCTGTCTCATGACAATTTATAAAACGGAAAAATAGTAAATTTCCCATTTCCGCAATAATAAACTGAATAAATTTAAAATTATAAAAAGTACCAGGCAACCAAAAAATCTCAAGCAGATTCTTTGTCCATCCAAATATTCTTGTACAGAGAGTGTACCATGTGTAAGTAGATGTAACACACCAAGATGCGGCACGTGTAACATCATAAGTGAAGGTACTACTTTCCTTTTTGCAAATGGCAAGGGTTTCAATGTGAAAGCCGACATGAACTGCCGCAGCAAAGATGTGGTGTATGTTATGAGATGTTCGGGATGCGGCGAAAACTACATCGGTGAAACCGGCATGGAATTAAAAGATAGAGTCACTGTACACAAACAGCAGATTAGAGACCCTAATGTTCGATGCTTAGGTGTCAGCAAACACATTGATGATTGCGGAAACGGGAAATTTACTATTTTTCCGTTTTATAAATTGTATACAAGTAACAAGCAGCTGAGACTGGAAAAAGAACAAATGTTTATCCAATTGATGAAACCAAAGTTGAACTCTAGAATGTATTAATAGATTTGTCATTTCAATCGTAAATGTTGCACTGTTACTTTACAAATACTGTATATTTAATTCAAATGTCTCCCTACAATTGTTAAATTACTTGGTGTCGTCGCTGGAGTGTGTAAATACATTGTGACGTCACAGTTGTAATTTATGACGTCATCATAAGTATGACGTCATTATATGTATATGTCAGTTACACTGAAGAGCTGTCATGAGACAGCGAAAGTACTATGTATGAAACTGATATAAAGAAGATGATGGACTAACGTGGACTTTATTATTTTATTATATATTACATGTACACCGAGTGAACATTTACCTCATTTTTGTATATATATATATATATATATATATATATATATATATATATATATATATATATAATACACAAAGGAGTATGACGAATCACGAGAGGAAATCAATATTTGAAATTGGATTTTTATAACAAGAAATTCGACCAACCGACCTGAATTTATGGGCCAAAAATCTGTAAACAAAAAGGGTCTTTTTTTAGTAACATTAACCGAGGGAAATATATTGCAGAAAGGAAGTACTTCCTGTGGCCTGGTTAATGTAGGTGATGTTGTATGTTGAAGGTTGCAACTCCTGTCCTATCGACGGCAACCATGACAAGTGCGACGACGTGTACAACCCTCCCCCGAGGATAGAGATAGAACCGGGAATGTGTGACAAGATTGGGGACCTCCCTAGTGAACGTAAGTCATGACGTCATCGATATCCCATTTCATGGTTGACCTCCATAACCAACGTAAGTCATGAACCCATGATATCGCAAACAGATGGTGACACAAGGATCTTAATAAACGCTTTTTCAAACTGTTATATTGATATCATTGTGAACTAATTCTGCTTTCTTATCATACGTAGCAAGGCATGTCTTCACATTGACAAACAGACAGGTATAACGGACTGCTAAGAAAGTCATGCGTTGTCTTACACAATGAGAATTAGACAGATGAACTTGCATGGTAAATGTGTATGATGAACTTGGTTCCAGAGACCAAACTCTGCAAGAAGTACGACAAACATCCCGGATACTACGTTTCCTGCTCTAACCAAGGCATGACCTTCTCCTGCAAGGCCTCTTGCGGGGTTAAGGTCGAAGACGTCGGCAAGAACTTCACAATTAACGACAAGCTGAAGGACATCATGTCTAATGGACTCCTACAGGGCCTGAACACCCCACACGACAAACATGACAATCTTTTAGACGGTGTCGGGTTCGGCGGAGACCTTCTGAGTTTTGCTAACAAGCCGGCCACACCTGACCACGATAAGCCCAATCCATCAACAGTCCAATCTCACAAAGCAGGGCATGCCAACTCATTTAACCAGAATCTTGTACCCCAAGGTGCCTACAATGTTTATCAACCTCTTGTTATCCCCAATCAGCAGAACCAACAGCCTCACACAAATTTCAACTTTCAGCAGCTCCCTCAACCTGGCCACTCTGTTCACAACCCCTTCCCGTCAGGGCCTTCCAACTTCCCTGGAACTCCCTTCTTCCCCAGCAACGTCCAACACCCAGCCCCAGCCTCTCCTGTACATGGTCCCGGGTCCCAATTCCTGCCTTTAAATCTCAATGCCGGATATCAACAAGTACCCAAACCTAACGCTAATGTTCCTAAACCCAACCCTTCCCTACCTGCACGTGGACCTGGATCCCCCTTTCTTCCAGCAGATCTCAATACCGGATATCAACCAGCGCCCCAAGCTAACGCTAATGTTCCCAAACCCAACCCTTCCCTACCTGCACGTGGCCCTGGATCCCCCTTTCTTCCAGCAGATCTCAATGCCGGATATCAACCAGCGCCCCAAGCTAACGCTAATGTTCCCAAACCCAACCCAACCCCACCTGCACGTGGCCCTGGATCTCCCTTTCTTCAAGCAGATCTCAATGCCGGATATCAACCAGCGCCCCAAGCTAACGCTAATGTTCCCAAACCCAACCCAACCCCACCTGCAGGTGGCCCTGGGTCCCCCTTCCTTCCAGCAGATCTCAATACCGGATATCAACAAGCACCCCAACCTAACGCTAATGTTCCTAAACCCAACCCAACCCCACCTGCACGTGGCCCTGGATCCCCCTTTCTACCAGCAGATCTCAATGCCGGATATCAACCAGCGCCCCAAGCTAACGCTAATGTTCCTAAACCCAACCCAACCCCACCTGCACGTGGCCCTGGATCCCCCTTTCTACCAGCAGATCTCAATGCCGGATATCAACCAGCGCCCCAACCTAACGCTAATGTTCCCAAACCCAACCCAACGCCACCTGCACGTGGCCCTGGATCCCCCTTTCTACCAGCAGATCTCAATGCCGGATATCAACCAGCGCCCCAAGCTAACGCTAATGTTCCCAACCCGATCCCTACCCCACCCCCACGTGGACCTGGGTCCCCCTTCCTTCCAGCAGATCTCAATACCGGATATCAACCAGCATCCCCAACTAACGCTAATGTTCCCAAATCAATATCTCCACCACCATCTCCAACGGGCCCTACAGATTTGAAGGCCGGCTTCCAGTCTGCTTCCCCAGTACCCATTACCCCTACGCCAGCAAACGCTGACCCTTCTGCAGTCAACCCTGTTCCCCCACAAGGTGTAACTCTACCCAATGCTGAATCCGATGTTAACGCATTGCTGAGCCACCCAGCTCCATCAGCACCATCTGCAGTTGTGCTCGATGTTTTCAAAACACACTCTCACACGGGGTACCTCCCACCCGTCTTAGCTACCAATGCACCAATTGGCGCAAGTAAACCTCTCCCTGGTCCAAACCCTACAGGTGCCCAATCGCAACAGTCTGAACCAGTACCTGTTAATCCATTAAACAATCTTCCAACCCAAGTCGTCAATAACCCTGCTAGTTCTCTCCCGAAAGAACAAAACTCACTTCCACATACCATCGAGAACATTCCTGCTGGCATCCCTCAATCAAGCTTACCAGTTGTACCGAATCCCTCAGTCATCAGTGCTCTCCCCACAAACTCCGGATCCAACCCTGCCGTCCCCCAAAATGCTGTGGATAAACCTAGCCTTCTCAGTGGACCAGCCAACAACGGTCAAGCCACCTACTCCATCCTACCTTCTCTTCCCAGCAACACCCACGGTGGCACTGCTTCCGGTCTTGCCTCCTCCCCCGCTTCTGGTCCTACTTCCGGTCTTGCCTCCTCCCCCGTTTCTGGTCCTACTTCCGGTCTTCTTTCCTCCACTGGCTCCGGTCCTGCTTCTCATCCTGTTTTAGGTTCAGTTCCTGGTTCAGAGTTCGGTCCTCTTGTTTCAAGCCCTGTTGACACTCATAATGCCAAAGGGTCGTATACTGGATTCACAGGCTTTGCTCCTTTCCCTGACCCCTCAAACTTCAACACTGCCAAAGGCCACCCTGCACCCCAAGTCCCCACCCTCCCAGCCCTCAGTCTCCCAAACGTGCCAGCATACAACAGCATCCATGGCAATGTTAGGCCTCAGAGCCATCATCCCAGTGCTGGTTCTCAACAGAGTGGTGATCCCTTCTTCGGATTTGGCTTTGATAACTATGGGGATAACAGTGGTTACCAGAACCTCGGTGGCTTCAACAATGGCAACAATGGCAACAATGGCAACTACGGCAGCACAAACAACCAGCTTGGACAGCTCACAGACAGCCTACACAATCAGGTTCGTTGCAGCTACAAAAAAAAAAAGAGGAAGTGTATTATTCAGGCATTGTGATACCTACGTTTGCGCTACACATTTAAGTAAACGGACGACGGTCGCCAGAATACAATGAAGAAGCATGCACTGGTCGAACATGGAGTTGTCTCCCCTTATACAGACTATGTAAAGCTCAACGTCTAACACAACTTTCTCACAGCATCGCGCTCAACTATTTCAATCGTCCAGGTGTTATTGCACATATCAATTTAGAAACAAGCAACAACATATTGTATCACACACTGCCAATAATAATTTATAATTCCAAAATATGACTTCAAAATATTTTTCCAGTGTTCAAAATGACCCTGTGGCCAAAGGGATAGCAATTACCTTTTTATTCCATTTAACATGACTTCCTGGACGGTAGACACACGCATTACATGGTATACAATTCCACGTCTTCCAGATGAATGACCTCAAAGATACCTCAGCGTCTGGAGCTAAATCTCACGGGACGTCCAGCTCCACCAACACCGGCAAGACATCCTCCTCCTCCAACATCAACTCCTACAACACCGGCTCCAGCAACGCCGGCTCCACGTCCGGTGGCGATTCTACTCACGACCTTGGAGCTGTCAATGCAGGTCAGTCACAAGGCTCACCCTTGTGGTGTTGGTGAACACTGCATTTAGGATTGTTAGTTCTCATTATTGAATGACGTATTTCAGAAGTAAACATCAAAACATATCTTTATCGAAATTTAGTGTCGGTTGTTGACTTAAGGATGGTTGAAACTGTAATGGTAAATTTGACCGCACTAAACTGCTGGGCAAGAGAAAGTACACACCAATGTTTGATGGCGGCTGTAATGAAACAAACAAGAAATGGTTTGTTTTCGTTGGTGATGTGTTTAATACGGATATCATAGTTGTGTCTTGTGCTTTAAGCTTGCAGTGTTTCGGCGACTGTTTTCAGCCTTGTAACGTTGATATAACGTTTGTAATTATTTTGTCCAATCCAATTTTCAAGAGTAAACGGCAAAAACGGTGACGTGTTTGCCCGGCAGTTTACACCTTCGAACGTGTATTCAGGCTCAAGGTCGAACATCGTAATTTCGAATACAGCTTCATCTTAAACACCATTGCTGCCAGGCTGGTATACTGAAGTTTAATCTCTCAAAATATATAACTTCGATAAAAAAAATGCAGCTACATTTAAATTCAAAAGGAGTGACATGACATTCTAAGCCTATGTAGTATCGAGGAAGAATAACAGTAAAGGCTGTGTGAAAGGGGAAATACAATGGTTCAGAGACTCCCAGGCATGGCCTAGCATTGTTTATGTCCAGTTTAAAGTTACTTTAGAATCAAACCAATATCTAAATGTCTCTTCCCATCATATGCAGCAGAGAATTAGGCAAATTAGTAGGCAGTGGAGTGAAATGACCCATTTTCATTGTACTTCCTAATGTCTTACGTATTAGGAGATCCGTGAACATCCGGGGTAGAATAGGTCTTCAGCAACTCTTGCTTGCCGTAAGAGGCGATTATGCTTGTCGTAAGAGGCGACTAACGGGATCGGGTGGTCAGACTCGCTGACTTGGTTGATGCATGTCACCATGTCCCAATTGCGTAGATCAATGCTCATGATATCAGTCACTGGATTGTCTGGTCCAGACTCGATTATTTACAGACCGCCGTCATGTAGCTGGAATATTGCTGAGTGCGGCGTTAAACAACAAACAAACAAACAAACAAACAAAACAAACAAACGTATTAAGAATCCTAGTTATTGTCATTGCAACAACACAACATGTAATTAGATACAATTGTGAACGCAATACAAAGGGGGAATTCAAGGTGATTTTCCTTTTCCAAGGTCACGACATGACCAACGACAATGACCTTTTTACTGGCTTTGGTAACATGTTTAGTGGCCAAGGTGGATCCAGATCTGGTAACCATGGCAACGGTAAGTGTCACTCATAACTAATGAAAAACATCCTAATCTGTATTGCGTGGCTTTCTAACAACATCGTTAACAACAGCCTTGGTTGATGTGAATATGTAGGGTTCGTCAATACTCCAGCCAATCTAACGGAGGAGAACCCGAACATTCGGCATAGCAGGCGAACGCTTTATCTGTCAGACTAACCAACTGCATCCTTGATATTGACACAACTACCATTAACTTCAAGAATTATTAACCATAACCACACCACGTGGTAGTACTAGCTTTGCATGTGACTAAATGCATACAATACCTTACAATACTCCGTTCGAGCAAACACCTTTTGCTCTTGTAGGGGCACGGGTGGCCCTGTGGTCTCAGACCCCGCAATTCGGTTCGCCACGATTATATTTCAAGGTTTGTCAGCACCATATCCGAGCTCGCAGGTTTCATCGAAGTGGTAAACGTCTGAGACCTGCATCACTTCCTTCCACATTAAGCTGGCACGCCGTGATAAAACTGGAATACTGTTAAAAGCGGCGTTAAACCCAACTCACTCACTCACTTTATCTTCACTAAGTTCTGTTACAATGGCTCGTTGGAAGAAACCTCACTTTATGTAGATATTTATAAGCGGCGTTAAACCCAATTTGCCAATTATCCTCGTAATGTTTACAGAGCGAAGCTTACTGAAACGGGCGTAAAATATTCAAAACTTTACGCCCTTTGAAACCTACATTGACGTTTAACTTCATCCCAATGCTGCACCCGCATTCGTGACGAACTCCCGTGTTATTCCGGGACAAGCCGAATAGCGACTCGTGCCCTTCTCATGCATTCGTGACGAACTCGTGTCATTCCGGGACAAGCCTAATAGCGACTCGTGCCCTTCTCATGCATTCGTGACGAACTGGTGTTATTCCGGGACAAGCCGAATATCGACTCGTGCCCTTCTCGTGCATTCGTGACCAACTCGTGGTATTACAGGTCAAGCGGGTTACGGAAAGGGGCGAGTGGTTACTAATGGCTGCACCCGACGCAGAGCGGTGATTTCATTGAACTGACAATCACACTTTGTCAGCATAATGTTGGAATAAAATTATATGAGTATTAGCGTAAACCAACATCTGAAATGCCATGTCGACCAATACACCTACAGTTTCAACAAAACATACCTGGCAAGAAATTGTTTATATACACGAGTATCCATTACTAAGAGTTATTTTCACCAATACATGCACTGTCGGGAACAATAGCATATACAGTAAACTACGTTTATAACGAACACGCTTATAACGAACTGACCGGTATAACGAACGTATTTTTTAGTCCCGGCCATTGGTTGCATATATGTTGTATATATGCTTATAACGAACTATGGTTATTACGAACTAAAATTAATGGTCCCTTTGAGTTTGTTATAACCGTAGCTTACTGTAGGTTAATAAATTATATTTTTGATTATGTGAAAGATATACCGACCGGTCAATCCCCCATAGTGTGTTTAGAAAACCCCTTGTCCGGACTTTTGGGTGAATATTGTGATAAAAATGCCACGCTCATAAATGAATATATCTAATTCAAAGTGCTGTATATCGGTAAATAGGAGTAAAGGAATGTTATTGCGCGTGTCCAGTATGTAAATTTGAACAACTAAATCTGAATTTATTATAAATGAATCTTTAAAAAATTTACATTCATCTTCAGCTGAAATTAACACTACTAACACAAAGAGAGCATAGCGCTACGACAGCATGTCGATGTTAAAGTGTGGAGTAGTTATGCATGTTGCCTAGACTATGAATTCCATCAATAAGCAATCTGCATCTACAGCGTACAAGTAGGTAGCAATGTTCATTATCCATGACCCATCCCAAAATACTTGTCACGCCAACAAAAGAATTTGTAACTCCAAATTTCGTCTACCATCCTACCATCACCATCACCATCACCATCACCAACACCATCACATCACCATCACCATCATCATCATCAACACCATCACCATCACCAACACCAACGCAACACCATCACCATCACCATCACCATCACCGTCATCAACACCATCACCAACACCAACACCAACGCAACACCATCACCATCACCATCACCATCACCATCATCACCATCACCAACACATCACCAACACCAACGCAACGCCATCACCATCACCAACACCATCACCACCACCATCATAACCATCACCAATACCAACGCAACACCATCACCATCATCATCACCATCACCAACACCATCACCACCACCAACACCATCACCAACATCATCACCATCACCACCACCAACACCATCACCAACGCAACATGATGACCAACACCATCACCATCACCATCACCAACACCAACACCATCACCATCACCAACTCCATCACCATCACATCACCAACACCATCACCACCACCAACACCAACACAACACCATCACCATTACCAACACCATCACCAACGCAACATCATCACCAACACAACACCAACACCAACACCAACACCAACACCATCACCATCACCATCACCAACACCAACACCAACACCATCACCATCACCATCACCATCACAACCATCAACACCATCACCATCACCATCACCATCACCTACCTTCCGGGCTTTTGCAGGATGGCTATATATTACTGACGAATCATTTCTTCGTGTCTTATCCGGACTTCATTCACTGGGATTTCATATTGAAAGGTTCCTACCTGATTAACGGGGTTTCACTGAATACATTACCTCTTCTCACTCTGTCAATGCCGCGATAACATCGACGCTTCAGCCTTAAATCATTCTAAAAATATTATACTCCATTATCAACTTATGTGATTCTCTTCTAAGACTAATTTTAAACTGACATTTACCTTCAGCTGTTAAGTCTATAAACCATATACTAGTAACAATCCTTCCCACTAGAGTACCTTGTCTCCCCCGTCTTCCGCTTTGTGTTTCTCGGGGCAAAATGGTCCAGTCGCATATTATGCGGAGTTGCCTTTCTTTGGTGTGCCAGGATCCGCTGACTGTGGTTTCGAATTCTTATTATGATCAGTTATGATCCATGGTTTCGTCAAAGCTGTACACGTCTTCGATCTGTTTGATTCTGGGCGCCACTCTATGTGAAACTGGCACGTCCTGACTAAACTAAATTACGTGTTTGTTTCCATGTATCGCCAGACGGAGCTCGCTTTGTTGCATTCCCTGAATATAAGTACATCATTTTCGGTTTCATTAGAACAACAACTACATGTTTTACTGTCTACGTATCTCATATCATTCAGAAGAAAAGTTGTTGATAATATATTATGTAAAATCTTATACTGGAACCCTTGCAGTATCAAGACAGAATTGATATTCTTCATGACTGTGTTTTCAATATTTAGCAAAGAGAATATTCCTCCGTATAGTTTGTTATAGTAAATATAGAAATACTTGAACCTTTTTTAGATTTGTTCAGATGATACGTATGAAATGGCAAAGAGGGAGATTGTATAAAAAAAGTTTGGTAACATTCGAATGTAGCGTGAACACCTATTTCGGTTAAAAAATTGGTTTCATATTGAAACAGTTTTAAAAGTGTCGAATGATGTGAATTGTCCGAAATTGTCCACAAAATCATTAAATATTGTTCGAAGTGGCGCAAAACCTTCCTCACTTATATGCTTATTAATGCAATTAGTACGTCCGAATGTTTTATCATCACAAATGTCCATCCAGCTATCCGTTCGAATAGAGTTTGTAATTCCTGGAACGATGTCACGAGGCATGTAGTATTATACTTTACCGCCGCGATTCGCTGTGCAGAGTTGCGTCCCTTGGGCACGCCAGAAACCTATGATTGTGGGCTCGAATCCCGATTCGCCTCGATTATGTTTCTAGGTTTGTCAGCACCATACCCGTGCTCGTGGGTTTCACCAAAGTGGTAAACATCTGAGACCTGCATCACTTCAGGCTTTCCTCCCACATTAAGCTGACACGCCGTGATATAACTGGAATAATGTTAAAAGCGGCGTTAAACCCAACTCACTCACTCACTCACTCACTCCCTCACTCATTATACTTTACAATGATAAAGGGTTATCAAAACTGCAGTAACGATCGTCAACTTGAACTCGCTTATGTCGACAGACATAAACAAAGACGATGTGAATATGGGTTTCAATAGAATATCCAGCCACGAGTAACTCAATATATATTCGATATATCCGGGTCTTCGAGTTATCGAGAACTCGCTGTTTTTGTATTTTCTTTTTCTTGTAAATCATACACTTCCGAATTTGTAAAGACATGAAATTCACTGTATCATTTTACTTCACGGCTTTACTCATGGAATGAGAGGCACAGTGGCTTGTGGTGCCACAATCCGTTCTCAAGAGTTGCGTCCTCTACTGCAAGGACCCCCCTGATCGCGGGTTCGAATAGCAAATTCTTACTGATTTTGATATTGGTAAGGTCGGATAAAACTGAAAAACATGTACTCTTCATGTCTTGTTTAATTCAACCAATCATTCACGAAAGGTCCCCGGAAAGTTTTATTTTCTTATTTATATTTTCTATTGTATTTATATATATTGGGGGTTGTTGTTGTTTTTATCTTGTTTTGTTTACGTTTTCAATTTTTTTTTTTAAATTCTTTTCCCTTTTTGGGAGGGGGTATGTTTAATTCTTTGCATTTATTTTCCTTTTGTTTTGTTTTTTGTTTTCTTTGATGTTTTTTGGTTTGTTTCTTCTTCTTTTGGGGGCTGTTTGGTTCTTTTGTGTTGTTTTTGTTTTTGTTGCGTGTCGGGTTTTTTTGTTTTTTGTTTTTTGTATTGTAGTTGTCTTTTTGTTGTTTTTGTTTGTTTCGTTTGTTTTGTGGGGTTTGTTTTGGGTAGGGGTTGGGGCAGGTTTGTCATTTGTGGTATAAATAGCAAAGCAATTGGTACTGTTTAGCTTTCTGGTTGGCGGCAAATGGGAGTTGACGGTACATGGTTTAAAATCCGGAAAAGGCCATTGACAATGACGATAAACAAAGCTTTTTTGCTGAAATGTGTTGTTTAACGTCTACAGGGTTCCACGCCAACCCGGTGTCACACGCCATGTTCAACCAGCTGAGCAATCACCAGGGGTACTTCCAGGGGTTCCAGCCATTCAACAACTTCGTGGCCCCACCCAAACAAGGTACAACAATACCAGGAAGCGTTTTCTGTTCATTCTGACCTTAATTATATCCAGGGGCGGTCGGGTAGCCTGGTAGTTAAGGCGTTCGCTCGTCACGCCGAAGGCCAGGGTGCGATTCCCCACATGGGCCCATTTTCTGGCGTCGCTCGCCGTGATTTTGTTGGAATATTTTATAAAAGCGGCGTAAACCCATAGTAACTTACTCACTATTATATCCAGGTTGGGGATTCCGGTTTAGAATAGGTCCCGGGTTTGGCTGTTATTCAACAGACTGATTTGCATGCCCCAGTGCAGGACGCCATGCTTTAGATGTTCTGCTACAGCAGTCTACATTGTCACTCACTCACTCAATGTTTGTTGTCTTATGCCCCCTCAGGAAACAAACAACAGCCAGTCTCCAAGAACAACATCTTCAGTAACGACCTCTTCGACTTCATGGGACGTCGGCGTTAGAAGAAACTGCACCCACTCGAACGCACCACTACTACAACGAAATGGAAAATGAATTAAACCATTGGATTTGTATATATTTTTTTCTGATCCACCATTATACTGTGTTACATATACATGAGAAAACTGTTTCTGTTTAAAGTGTAGGGGTAGCAATATTTTGTCCATATGTGCATAATCTTTTATGTGGTTTGTTGTTTACGTTCCAGGCAAACAGTGCAAGTGACTGGTTATAATAAATATTGAAAATAGCTTTACTTTCTAAGACTCCCATCCTTGATGATCTAGGGTATTTTATCTCCATTCTATTGTGATAAATACCCTGGACTCATTCGTTACCTTTGCTTCCTTTTATCCCGATACGAAAGACATGGCGCTATAAATAGCCGTCAAGTCAAATTATTCTCATGAGCCAGAGAAACCACGTTAGAGACAGGAGCGAGAGACGATTACGTCACTTCCGGAACGAGGGTATGTTGACGAATGGGTCCAGGGCCCACTTGCACAAAGCGATCTTAGCGCTAAGACTATTGTAAGCCTATGTTAAAGTATCTTAGCGCTAAGATCGCTTTGTGCAAGTGGGTCCAGGGTATATATATTAATAGATTGGGGGCACTGTACCCTTGGTACGTGAGGACGAAGGCCTGGTGGTGTACGCTATGTTGAGTTGCTTCCCTTATATGCCAGAATCCGCTGATTTCTGCCCGATTATGACTCTTGGTCTGTCAGGCCCGGACGACGGGTTTCACCTCAGTGATAAAGATGATCTTGCCTAGTCTCCATTGGTTTACCTCCCACATTAAACTGACACGCTGTGATATGACTGAAATACTGTTCAAAGCAGCGTTTAAAGAAATCACTCGACAGACGCTAGGTGTAAATTTGATGTTGTGAATAAACTACCTTCCAACAATACGTCGCTGACTTTTTTATTTTTATTTCCGTGTATCATTAGAAATGAGACAGTAGTGTAAACCTCGTGACCCGCAGTACAATGTCGTAGTATATACAGTATGTGCGGGGGCGCTGGTGGCCAAGTCGTCTAACGCGCCGCGATTCGCTGTGCAGAGTTACGTCCCTTGGGCACACCAGAAACCTATGATTGTTCGAATCCCGGTTCGACCCGATTATGTTTCTAGGTTTGTCAGCACCATACCCGTGCTCGTGGGTTTCACCGAAGTGGTAAACGTCTGAGACCTGCACCACTTCGGGCTTATCCCCCAAATTTAGCTTACACGCCGTGATATAACTGGAAAACTGTTAAAAGCGGCGTTAAACCCAACTCACAGACAGACAGTTTATTCAGTATTCAAGGCCATATGACCCATAGTACAGTTCAGTTTTAACAAACACATAAAAATCAACGGGATTTTGAACATAGAATAATATAATCACCTGAGTCTAAATACATGTTTCAAAATATTGCTTAAAGATTTGATAACTTCTTCATTGGTCGAATTCAACAAATTGATCATCAATTGATTATCTTTGTGTGTAATATCTAAATTAGGTAGAAACTTTAATCTCAACGTTTTATAATTTTCCTGGTTGGTATGATTAGAACATATATTATTTTCAAAATCACTATCCTTGATTCTACGAAATTTATTGACAAGGAAGTTATGGAGAGATATTCTAAATTTACAAAGAGCTCTCAATTGAGTTTTATCTCGTAATATGCTTAAATATTTTTCTGGTTGTAACAAGGATTTAATACCAGCATAATGCTTGAGAATGTGTGAAGAGGAAACTTATTGGTTGCAGTTTTGCTGAAATATGTCAAATATGTTTAAATTTGAGCAAAAATAATTTTTCATCACCAGTGTCTTGTGAGATCCATACAAAGGAAAATCCAGTATTAAATAATATGCTTCTTACACCTGACACCCAGTTCGTTTTCCCTTCACCATCTAATTGCTTTCGCATTTTGTAACATTGAAATGGGTACCTGTGAGCTTCCATTTTTAATAATTTTATCCAATATTTAATAACACGCAGCTGGCTTTGTGCATATATACTACAGCGACCAGTTTCACCAAGTACTTATTTACCAATGCATAAAAAACTGCTTAAAATACAAAGTGTGAACTTTCTCAATGGATTCAAAATATTTAATGCCCCATATTGCCGAGCCGTACAACAAAATGGGTAAAACCCAACTCACTCACTACAGTATGTGCGCTTCTGAAGCTGGTCGTGAAAGCTGGTCTGATACTAAGCTAGAGTATTTTACGTGCGCTTCCTTTAACTACATTGTCAAGAATATTGCACTTTCTGTTTCTCCTTTTTTTTTTAAACAAATAGCGACCGTCCTTCAGGAAAACTGGTACGAAATACCTTGCATCTTAACAGAAGAGATGGGAACGGTTCAGTTGATTCCTGAATACATTGTGAGTAACCAGTTCTTGGTGATAATCCGCTGGTCTGGACAAATGAATAATCAAGAGGTGGTTTTGTGTACCTTTACAAGCAATATCCAAGGCCGTAGTTAACTTTTTTTTGACAGAGGGTTCAAATATTTGTAGAAGTATCACTTGTCCCCCCGGCTGGCTACGGCACTGATATCATTTGTGGGAAAACCTCTAGATATTGTTTAAAATGGATCGAAATGTTTTTACTGAGTTTTACCTCAAGTAAAATATGCATGCAGTTTCGTGTATGCATTGTGTTGTTATATGTCGACATGGGGCCTCGTCGCCGACGGCGTATATTTGCCATGATGTTACAGATGGTTGACAACACTGACCTCGTTACCAGGCTTCACACTTAACTGAAGTACTGTTAAAAGTGGCATACAACCCACTACTCTCATCGTCGAACATCATCATCATCATCATCATCATCATCATCATTATTATTATATGCCACTTTTAGCAATAGTTCAGCAATATCACGGCGAGGAGCACCAGAAATGGGTTTCACACATTGTACCAATGCATGTGAGGAATCGAACCCGGGTCTCCGGCGTGACAGGCGAACGCTTTAACCACTAGGCTAGCAAACGGCTCCATCAGCACCTTGCATAACATACACATACATCGTTCATTTCACAGAAAGTTGCAGTACTTTACTGTATAGTCTAATCTATCACGGGGTAAACTTCTGACTAAATGGTCCACGTGGTCAAAGACTTTTTTTTTACTTGGGAAAATACAAAAATAATCTCCTGGACCTTGCAATAAATGTTTGATGTTCGTCCCAAGAATATTCGCAAGAACGCAGAACTGGAAGCCCAATCTGATATTGTAGGAGCATCGTGGTTTCTATGGTTACGGGCCATGAAGCACATTATATATGGTCATGGTGATAATAAATGTCAGGAAATTGTACCGAATTACACACAGGTCGCCAGGTTTGGTGTGTTTGCTCTAAGAATACAACGGCATATTTGTGTTTCTCTCTGACACACAGAGACGCAAGTCACACAACACAAGACGACAGGATGACGTGGAAGTGCCATCATCACGCATGCGCGTGAATCAGGCAGGCACTCGCCGTGTGAGCTTCATTAATATAAGGTTAAACCTGAATCAGCTCGAGCTTCCCTCTAAAGTCAAGCTGACACGCAATATTATCTGAGATTTTGGTTTGAGATCAAAATGGATTTTTGGTTGGGTGATCAATGACATTTTGACAAATGGTTGCTCCCTTGTGACTTTTAAAAAATTCAAACGCTGATTTGTTTTCATCTTTTTTTAATTCGAAGATAATTGTTAAAGCTTTAGCTCTACACCTAAAGCTTTAGATCTTTGTCTTCAACAAAATCGAGATCTAAAGCAATAATAATTTCCAGTCATTTTCTGACACTATGTGGTCTATAACTACACGCAAATTAATAATTGTAAAGAGATATATTTAAAAACGTGACTTAAATATCTTTGCAAAATAGTGTTTTAATAATAGATCTCACAAACGTCATGATGTGAGTCTGTGTCAAGGGGAGGTAATCGTTATGCTTGTTATAATTACCTCCCTTTACCCAAGTTACAGCAGTGGGGTGACCCGCTGACAAAACACCGTTCTCGGTCTAGGCTGCCATCAGCTGATTGTTCGCGTAAGAACCCCGTCAACATCAGTGGTTTGTGGTCTTTGTAAGACAATATATTCCTCAAGATGTCACTGTTATTCAGTGGTGGTAACTCGCTGCCACACAACTTCGCAACGTTATTTGTTCTGGACTTTTTTTAAGCTCCAGAGATATTCACTAATGCTTGTGACCCGTGAAGATTCCGGGGTAGAAAAGGTCTTCAGTAACCCATGCTTGCCGTAAAAGGTGACTATGCTTGTCGTTAAAGGCGGCTAACGGGATCGGGTGGTCAGGTTCGCTGACTTGGTTGATGCATGTCATCGATCCCACTTGCGTGGATCGATGCTCATGATGTCAATCACTGGATTGTCTGGTCCAGACTCGATTATTTTACAGACCGGGGTTAAATAGCTGGAATATTGCTGAGAGCGGCGTTAAACGACAAACTAACAAACAAACAAACACTAATGCTTGTTGTCACCTTGTGTCTGTCTTTTGTTGTTCTAAAACAAATACATTTCTGTTTAAATGTAGGCGTCATTGTTTTTGTGTATTCATAGTATAGAAAAGAAATTCAATATCTATCGATCTATAGGTTGTTGTAGTTTTTACTCTTAGTGTGTTACAATAATGGGATGCCCTTGTTACATTGGCTTATCATTTGATACAGAAGAAAGTAGGGGTTGGATGAGTCCAAATTTACTACCAAGTAGAGCTGGGACGGGTAACTCAGGTACCCAGGTCTACCCGGACCCGTGGTTAGTCATGTGATATATTGTTTAATGACAAGAATATCTATAACTCTATGGTGACACTACAAGTCAATAATGTTCGCATTTCTTTCTCACTTTGCTCCGATTCCTTCTGACTTTTCATATGATTGAATAAAGATATAACTTAATTCAACTTCAGTGCATGAATGACCAGATTGTTTAATACATGCATCTGAATACGTTTTGCCAGGGCTATGCTAAAAATGTTCCCAATTGGACATTTTGAGACATCTCCTGAGACCTACAGTGGGTACCCGGGTAGGGTCGGGTAATAGGGAGGTTGGTACCCGGGTAGTCAATTTGGACTCGTCCCAGCCCTACTACCCAGGTACCCAAAACCCCATTACCCGACCCTCCCCGGGTACCCGCTGAAGGTCTTAAGAGTTGGGTATAAAAATGTCCAAATGGGAATTGCTTGAACGGAGCTCTTGCAAAAAGTATTTAGATAGATCTACATGTATAATACCATCTGGTCACGTATACACTGAAGTTTACTGAAGCTTTATCTTTATTCAAACATATAAAAGTCAGAAGGAATGCATGCCTTATCAGAAAGAACTGCCAAGATTAGCGGCTTGTAGTGTAACCATGGAGTTCTAGATAATTTTGGTCATTAAAGGATATTTCATGTGACTAACCACGGGTCCAGGTAGTCATGTGGGTACCCGGATCCAACTCAGTACCCACCCTGCCCGAGTCCCTGAGTTACCTGTCCCATCACAAGAAGCAGGGCATATTTTAATGAGTGCAAGTGTACTTATTTAAGCCTGGGGTCATTTTGTTCATTGAGTAGCTCTCGACCTGGGTAGTATCAGGCTCTCATCAATCACGCGTGCCGATGGATCACAAATTTATAGGGGCACTGGTGGCCCAGTTGTCTAAGGCACTGCAATTCGCTGTGCAGAGTTGTGTCCCTTGGGCACGCCAAAAACCTATGATTGTGGGTTAAAATCCCGGTTCACCTCAATTATGTTTCTAGGTTTTTCAGCACCATACCCATGCTCGTGGATTTCGCCGAAGTGGTAAACGTCTGAGACCTGCATCACTTCGGGCTTTCCTCCCACATTAAGCTGGCACGCCGTGATATAACTGGAACACTGTTAAAAGCGGCGTTAAACCCAACTCACTCATTCACTTCATGTTTTGAATCCATATCAATTTTCAGAGTAATGTTTACAAGGCATTACTTGGCCTGATATCAATTTAACTTGCGTTCAAATTACCATGCGTCCTGTATATCAGGAAACAACGTATACTGTGACACCCCAACTGGGCCCCTTATCATTTTGTACTCTGGTTACAGTTGGACATATATTTAAAAATTGACTTGCTTATTTTATTGGTTTATAGAGGTTTATGCATAAAAACCGGTGTGCATACTTTGTAAAATCATACATGCACACCAGTTTTTACGTTATAAATCCATAAACTCAAAAATATTTTGAAGTCAGTTCTTACTAAGAAATATGTCAACATTAATAGACTGCTTATTTATTCATTAACAAAACTGTAGACAACAGTACCAAATCAGTGCAGTCATTCAGTGCATTGCCAATCAAATGCCACAGAATCATTTGCAATACATGTATATTAGGGTAACTCGGGTACTCGGGTCGGGTGGGTACTGAGTAGGATCCGGATACCCATAGGACTACCCGGACCCGTGGTTAATCACGTGATATATTGTTGAATGACAAAAAGTATCTAGAACTCTAGAATGTTTGCATTCCTTCTGACTTTATATGTTTGCATCAGTCAGCTTCAGTGTATGCATGACCAGATCGTTTTACACGAGTATCTACATACATTTTGCCAGGGCTACTGTCAAACTATTCCCAGTCGGACATTTGAACCTATCTCTTGAGACCTACAGCGGGTACCCGGGTAGGGTCGGGTAATAGGGGGATTGGTGCCTGGGTAGAAAATTTGGACTCGTCCCAGCTCTAATGAATATTCATATCTACATGTGCTTGCATTTGCATGTTTGCATTTTCACACATTGAATTGTGCACTTTTAATCATAACACCCAACCCCCTTCTTCCATCAATATCACAGTTGAAGACACAAATTAGCTTCGCAAATTTTACATGTGTTGGGATTCAAACCCGGGCCTCCTATCATCATGAGGAGCGACCATGTCAAGAACCAACATACCCCATCGCCACATGAAGCTGATAAAACCAGAGATGACAATTTCTGCAGGTTACGTTAGGCCAAGGGTCACTTTTGTGATACATGCCATATAATGTACCCATCAATCATACATAGGCCCGCACACCCCAGGCCAACTGTCAGGGTGTTTTTTTAAACAAACATTCTCATCCCTGTAAGGCAGACCATAAAACAGAAAATAATGAAATCCCCAGACTTGGTATTCGATTTAAAAAATTGTGAGGCCAAAAAAAATAATAGTCTTGTTTCTCAGCCACCGCCCGCATCATCATAAAGTCAGCCCTTCATTTCATCTTATGTCCTTTTCACAAAATTTATAAAAAATCCTAATACTTAATAACAATGAGATCCAATTATAGAACACAGTTACTTCCCTTTACTGCGCATCTTGTGTTATGGTCATGGCATCAGTAGGTGTTTGTATGCTTGTTTATGTAGGGAGGCCCTTTCCCAGGTTGATGGTACACAACTGTTTATTTGGTTAAAAACAACCACCACCCTATCACACTATATTTTCAAAAGTCATTGCCTGAGAACCAACTCATTTATTTTCTTTAAGCCTAATGTATGCTATATGTCACCTGTATTCAGGCATCTGCTTGAAGGAGAGACCATGGCCAATCTATTGACGATCGAGAAGTGGAACCCAGACCGTGATGGGGAACTCAATGTGCCCAACATGAAGAAGAAGCTGAAGTCACAAAGCTACAACTGCATCCAGTATACATTCCCCCCAGGGACAGACTTCCCTGACCACACCCATGCAGTGTCCAAGAAGGACTCCATCACCTGTGGTCAGTTCCAGTTCACAATGTACGGTCAGACTGTTATTCTAGAACCAGGTGATATGATCGATGTGCCGGCCAATACGGTTCATAACGCCTCTGTTGTTGGTTCCAAGTCTGTGGTATTCTTTGATGCCACTAAGTAACTGAAGTGTTGCTTGTTTTAGCTCAAAGGTTAATGATATAAATGTGCAGGCCATATTTAATCAAGAAATAATTTGTTAAGGGGATTTCTCAAGTTATTTTTGGCAATTTTAATTTGTCTTTATTTAAGGCAGAGGTTTGATTCCTAAAAATTGCCAAATGTGTGAAGCGGATTTCTGGTTTACCCTGCCATGATATTGCTTGCATATTGTTAAGAACAGTGTTAGACCAAACTTACTCATTCATCTTAAAATGTCATTATGGAATGCAGCACATCTTGTTGAAGCTTGAAAACAAGTCTACTCTAACATGTGAGTGAGTGAGTTGGGTTTAACACTGCTTTTAACAGTATTCCTGTTATATCACGGCATGTCAGCTTAATGTGGGAGGAAAGCCCGAAGTGATGCAGGCCTCAGACGTTTACCACTTCTGTGCTGACAAACCTAGAAACATAATCGGGGCAAAGCCACAATCATAGGTTTCTTGCATGCCCAAGGGATGCAACGCTGCCCAGCGAATCACAGCGTCTTAGCCAACTGGGCCACCACCCCTGCCCCCCCTCTAACATGTGAGTGAAACAAGGGGATTAAACCTCAATACCCAGGGAATTTGAGTTCAGTATGGCATATGATGTATCATAATCGAACAACATTCCCTGTTTCAATGGTTTCCCTGTACCAGGTACCAGGTTCAAACTTTTTGGTGGACTGCTGTTGCATAACATTGTCCCACAGCCGCACATGTTAATGTACAGTTAAATTAGACTATCAACCTTTGCTGACATATCAAGTATTTTGGATGGAATAAACACTTCTGTCTAAAATAATGGACTTTGGTGATTCAGAGGACTGCATATGTGATATGGTTTGGTTTGTTTGTTGTTTAATGCTGCACTCTGCAATATTCCAGCTATATGATGGCAGTCTGTAAATAATCAAGTCTGGACCAGACAATCCAGTGATTGACATCATGAGCATCGATCCACGCAATTGGGATCGATGACATGCATCAACCAAGTCAGCAAGCCTGACCACCCGATCATTTTAGTCGCCTTTTACGACAAGCATGGGTTGCTGAAGACCTATTCTACCCCGACCTTCATGGGTCGCATGCGTGATATGGAGGTCAAATTGGAGGTAAAAGGACAAGGTATGATATGGGCCCTATTTGGCCCCCCAGAATGTCAGATTCTAAATTTAATGAATAGTTTGAAGATTTGTTTGAATGCTTGACAGTTAGACTTTCTATCTAACACTTTCAAGTTTTTGTTCAAGCATGATAAAGTACATGCACATGGCAAAGATGAGTGAAAAGGTCAACTTAAAAACAAGAACCTTACTATAAGGTTTTAACTCCATGACCCAAGATAACTTTTTACCACGTAAAAAATTAGCTTGGTCAAAGATTTGTTCATGTTTGAATACTTAGAAATGCATTTTGAAAACTTCTTACAATCAGCCTTTTTACATATCTTGTATCTGTAGGTGTTCAATTAGTGCTGTTATAATTCCAAAATATGCATTGAAGTGTCGAGTCCTCATTCATATGAACGCATCTTATAACTAATACTATATTTTCAAAAAGGTTTGATTACTTCTTACATTTAGCCTTTAAGTCAGGCATACCCCTCACCTTGTCTTTTACAGAGTGTTCTGTGTCCATGGTTTGCTGGAAATTTTCAGGAATTATTTTGGATTTTTTAAAATAATTTTTGTGTAGGTGCTGAAGGGCTGTCTTTCAATGCTTTGTTAAATATTTGCCTTTTATCATATATCTGACAATATAATATGTATATTACTTGTACAAATTTGAATGAATTATTTTTGTGAATATGCATAATGTGATTATGTTTTATTTTGAATGTTGATGACAATAAAGTATAAATAGGATAAATATTGAAACTGTGTTCTTTGTTTATAAATTTACTGCATAAGATAATCAGTAATTAGTGGAGAGTGGTTACCACACGTTTCATCTTCCCATCTCCCCATCTTTCCAACATCCACTGGCCTAAGACTGCCTCTTTGATCTAGTGGTAGAGCGTCTGCCAAGAGATCAGAAGGTCGGGGGTTTGATCCCCAAACACGTCATACCATTAGACATTAAAAGGTGGTACTTGTTGTTACCCTGCCTGGTGCTCGGCATTAAGGGGGTAAAACAAGGACTGGTCAGCTGGGAGTCAGTATACTGAGTGTTAAACTGCAGCATGGTATCTCAGTGGGCTAGCACTATAAATCGGCATCAGTCTGGACTAGTACATACAGCCACACACACACACACACACACACACACACCGTGCATGCACATTTGCTATATAAGTGCAATAGTCTTGAACATGACGTTAAACCACATTTCTCCTCGCCTCAACTGGCCTTAATTAAAAAAAACTAGACTTTGGTATAGGCTAGTGGACATCCTTGCCGCCAAAAGATTATGTTCTGTCTTTGGTATGTTTACCCTCTGAAGACTAGTGGGGGCATGGGTGGCCCAGAAGTCGAAGGCACTGCAACTCCACTGTGCAGAGTTGCGTCCCTTGGGGATGCCAGAAACATTATCGTAGGTTCGAATCTTGGTTCGCCTGACTATGTTTCCAGGTTTGTCAGCTTCTTCAAGTGTCAGGTGAAAGAAATTATGAGTGTTTCACTATATTTCAAATGGGGCATGAGGTATTCACAAAAAACATCCTGTCTCCCCGACTGCTGAATGGGACGGTGTCTCCCCATTTGTCAGACAGCTTAAAGTGACAATGTTCTCGGTTGAGTTGTTTACTAAGTCACTGCCTGATGCCTATCGAATTAAATAGTTTACAATTTAGGAGACCATAAAACTTCTATCATAAACCGTTGTTTGTTTATTTATTATCCATATCAGTACATTGTCTTTCATGTACCACTACAATTTTCACAAGGTTTCCACACGCACATAAAATATAAGCGTAACAACATTCTCCAAGTTTTCTGCAGTAGGTATATGTATGACAATTCCCATCCCAGATGTCCAGCTGTGTGTAAATACAGGAGTGGGATCTTTAGTCATTGGGCAAGAAGATCCTTCAGTTGACCAAGGCGATTGTCAGTTCACGGTTTTCAGGAGGAGGAAAGGCAACAAGGGTCAGCTGGGTGAAAGTGTTATCGTCAGACGTCTTGACCCGCTAAGATCCGGGGTAGAATAGGTCTTCAGCAACCCATGCTTTCCGTAAAAGGCGACTATGCTTGTCATAAGAGGCGACTAACAGGATCCGGTGGTCAGGTTCGCTGACTTGGTTGATGCATGCCATCGATCGAAATCGAATCTGGATCAGACAATCCAGTGATTGACATCATGAGCATCGATCCGCGCAATTGGAATCAATGACATGCATCAACCAAGTCAGCGAGACTGACCACCCCATCCTGATAGTCGCCTCTTACGACAAGCATAGTCGCCTTTTACGGCAAGCATGGGTTGCTGAAGACCCCGGATATTCACGGATACAACATTCAAGGCCTCAGAAAAGCTTTCATTAAGTTTGATGGTATACAGGTAGAGGACAAGCCGAAATTGACGCGTCACTGAAAAACGTAATGTCCGATGCCGGAGTTATTTCATATTAACAATTAACTTGCCTGTGCATGTGTTCATGACACATGTGGCACAGGATACGTTCACCTTTTCGCGAACACCATTTGGAACCTTTAAACTATTTATATCATTCTTCAACTAGTTATTAATGAAAAATATGTTGCTGGTTATTATACTTTCCTTTGATATTTATTTGACTGCCTCCGTGGTCCTGCGGTAGAACATCCGCCGAGAGCGCACGGTCCGGGATTCGATCCCCGGCCGCGTCATACCAAAAGACGTTAAAAGATGGTACTTGTTGTTACCCGGTCTGGCGCTCGGCATTAAGGGGCTAAAACAAGAACTGGTCGGCTCGGAGTCAGTATACTGTGTCTGGGTGGGGTATTCATGTTAAACTGCGACATGGTATCTCAGTGAGCTAGCACTATAAATCTGCATCAATCTGGACATGTACAAGCAGCCACACACAAACGTGCATGCACGTCCCAATATAAGTGCAATAATCTTGGACGCGACGTTAAGCCCCATTTCACCTAACTTCCTTCGATATTTGGCCCATATATTGCCCATGTGACTTTAAATTTTTACTCACTCCAACTATAAAAACCGCGCAGTATTGATGGGCAATAATTTATGGTTCTCAGATATCATTGGTTGAAGAAAGTAAAAATAAACAGAAAATAGTTGTGACTAGCACGGTAGGGTCGCTCTTCACGCCGAATACCCGGAATCGAATACCCGGAATCGATTGCCGACATGAGTACAATGTGTGATGTCCATTTCTGGTGTCCCCCGCGGTGATATTGCTGAAATATTGCTAAAAGCAGCGTAAAACCAAACTCACTCACTACGTGTGACTAATAAACATTCAGTGACGACTGGACATTCGATGACTTTGCAAGACACAAATTGGAATTAGACTTAACATGATTTTACCAACTATTGATATGGCATTCTTTAGTATCATGAACATTTTTTAAATAATGTTAAGGACATGTGACAATAGCATTAATTTCCTTGAATGTGAACCGTTCTGAAACCCTGGACGTTGATCAAGTATAGACAATGCAAATAAGATAAATTAATTCCTGTTGGAGAGGAATTGTCGAAATAGCACAGAGTAGAGTTTCGTGGACAATACTGACATTACTGCAGGTTCTCAACATATCGTTATTCGCTGTGCAGAGTTGCATCCCTTGGGCACACCAGAAAAATATGATCGAGGGTTCGAATCCCGATTCGCCCCGATTATGTTTCCAGGTTTGTCAGCACCATACCCGTGCTCTCGGGTTTCACCAAGTGGGAAGTGTATGAGACCTGCATAACTTCGGGCTTTCCTCCCACATTCAGTTGACACACTGTGATATAACTGGGATACTGTTCAAAGCGGCGTAAACCCAACTCACTCACTCACTCAGAGTTTTCTGCAGTTCTTATGAAACTGAGAACTATTAACAACAGTATAATTTTGTATAATAAATATAAACACTACAGTAAGAAAATGTATATCAAATAGTACATTTGACTTTTCTTATCACACAACATAATCTCATCTTGTGGCCTGTGCCACCAAAGAAAGTAGCAATTGCGTCGTGTTAATCGAGGAGATATAAACTTTTATTATACAATAAAAGCCTGTTTCCTCCAAGGAATGATACGATGTTGAAATTCCATATGGTGATTCTAGATTGACAACGGTGTCGGAAGCCCGTGAAGATTCCGGGGTAGAATAGGTCTTCAGCAACCCATGCTTGCCATAAAAGGTGACTATGCTTGTCGTAAAAGGCGACTAACGGGATAGGGTGGTCAGGCTCGCTGACTTGGTTGATACATGTCATCGATCCCAATTGCGTGGATCGATGCTCATGATGTTAATCACTGGATTGTCTGGTCCAGACTCGATTATTTACAGACCGCCGTCATATAGCTGGAATATTGCTGAGTGCGGCGTTAAACAACAAACCAACCAACAAAACCAACGGAAGCCTGGATGGCAAGACAATAGACATTGAGACAAGACCTCCTTTTCCGTGGCCTGTGCAGATTTTCTCCTGTCGGATTTACATGGTCGATACACGTAGTGGGTCGTATCAGTATCTCTACCACGTAAACACCGCCTCCGTGGTCGAGTGGAAGGAGGCCGGGGGGCGGAAGATACGGGTTTTGATCCTCGGCCGCCTCATGCCCAAAACACGCTAAATGGTGGTACTTGTTATTACCTTGCCTGGCAGTCAGAAGTAAGGGCTAAAACAAGGAATTGGGACAGTACACGTTATTTGGTTTACCTTCTCGTACCCTCATTATACAATCCATAAAATCTTACTCGGAAACGTATACATTTCCAAGACATAATGAAGTTTTGTTATCATATTATAACATATATTTTTGCAACCATAACAACACAAGTTTGAATTATCACCAGTGAAACCAATACTTTTAATGTAATGCTATTTTACGTGTCCAAGGGGGCACGGGTGGCTCAGTCGTCTAAGGCGCCGCGATTCGCTGTGCAGAGTTGCGTCCCTTGGGCACGCCAGAAACCTATGATTGTGGGTTCGATTCCTGGTTTGCCCCGAATATGTTTCTAGGTTTGTCAGCACCATACCCGTGCTCGTGAGTTTCACCGAAGTGGCAAACGTCTGAGACCTGGATCACTTGGGCTTTCCTCCCACATTAAGCTGACACGCGTGATATAACTGGAATACTGTTAAAAGCGGCGTTAAACCCAATTTAATTACGTTTACAATACAATAGCCTTGCTCAAAGGCTGTACTGAATGGTAAGGCCATGGATGTATAGTAAACTACGGTTATAACGAACTCAAAGGGACAACTAATTTTAGTTCGTTATAACCGTTGTTCGTTATTAGCATATACGGAACATATAGACAGCAATTTGCATGGACAAAAAATCAGTTCGTTATAAGAGTGTTTGTTATAAACGTATACTACTGTATAGTAATTCTATGCTTTTAATGGGCAAGTCTACGATAAACGATAAACGATAACCCCCCCCCCCCCCCCCCCCCCCCCCCCGAGGTACGATGTCACACTATCAACCAAGTCACAGAGTCTGACTAGCGATCCATCACGTCGATTTGTGTACGACAACAATAGAATTCTAACCCTGAATCCCCTCGACGGTAATCAGCTTACAAGTACGGTCCGGGCGGCAATCAATACATCACTAAAAACATGATGTAACTGGAGGGAACGTTACCTCCGTGTGTGATCAGATTATTTTCTTAAATCTCTCTCCAGTCAGTGAGATTGTAAGTACGTCTGGATGATGTCATGTGATTAGACTTCCCAGGGAGCTGAGGGTGCAGTTTAAGTGCACGCTTATAAGTCAGCTGACCGGGGTAATAATTGTGGAGCTCCATAAGAAATCTTTAGAACGTAGATAAGACGCAATGTTAATTTAATGAGTCAAAGTTTTATACCTCTTTTTGAAGCGTGTCGTTTTGGCAATAATTATGTACCCAGGATAGGATAGGCGACGAACGATTTTCTTCTTAAATGACAGCTGTTTATATGAGTGATCTAATAGTATGCTAATTCAAAATACGGTTTACGCCATGACTAATCAAATGAAAAATCAAGTCTTGATAAGTAAATATAATATAGCAATAACCATGGCCACTGACTATAGTCCATCAATAACCATGGTAACCAGCTATAGAATTTATCAATAACCATGACAATTAACTAGCATCTATCAATAACCATGACCGCTTACTATAATCTGTTGATAACCATGGCAATTAAGATATTTTCAAGTTCGACATTTGTTTCAGGTCCCATATATACTTCAACATAGCCAACCCTCTCAAACAGGAGTAATATGTGTTTTGAGTGCGACTTGAACCCAGCAGACAAGGTTCTGGGTTTCGTTGTACAAAGCGATCTCAGAGCTAAGGTGATCGTAACTCCCATACCTTAACATAGACTTGCGACAGTCGGAGCGCTACGGTTGTTTTGTACAACGGCACCCTGGTCGTCAAGGGCTCACAAATTCCGCTTTCTGAGAGCAGGTATTGGGTGATACTCCAGTGGACCTCGCAGCATATGTCTAGAAGGATCTTGTTTGGTAATAAAAGTGTCAGCAGGTCAGTAACCTGTGGTCGTCACACATTCCAGAGTTCCTCGGCCATTGGCGAGCTTGCCACAGGGCAGTATATCGTATAACTGGAAACAAACAAATCTGATACGCAGTTTGCATCACAAACATATAGGATTCCCCTTAAAAATCTACTATTGGTTAACAGTGACCTGCTGCCTAATGGACTGTGGCGGGCACTGGCGAAGACATGGGGTTTTAGATTGCACATATACTTTCTGCGATGACCCGTGAAGATCCGGGGTAGAATAGGTCTTCAGCAACCCATGCTTGCCGTAAAAGGCGACTGCTTGTCGTAAGAGGCTACTAACGGGAAAGACCCGTGAAGATCCGGGGTAGAATAGGTCTTCAGCAACCAATGCTTGCCGTAAAAGGCGACTATGCTTGTAAGAGGCGACTAACGGGATCGGGTGGTCAGGCTCGCATATTTGGTTGATGCATGTCATCGTATCCCAATTGCATGGATCGATGCTCATGATATCAATCACTGGATTGTCTGGTCCAGACTCAATTATTTACAAACCGCCGTCATATAGCTGAAATATTGCTGAGTGCGGCGTGAAACAACAAACGCCATACCTATAGTGAAACAGACTGGACATATAGGTGATTGCATGATCGATGCTCATGATATCAATCACTGGATTATCTGGTCCAAACTCGATTATTAATACAGACCGCCGACAAATAGCTGGAATATTGCTGAGTGCGGCGTAAAACAACAAACAATCCAGCCGTTGGAATATGTATGATGCGATAGTTACATTCGGCGACAAGACCTGGTCAAGGCACAGCCAACATATAAAGGTGGTATAAATGACCGTATTTGGTCACTCAAACCTCATATTCGATCATTGACAAGTCAATTACAAGGTGACGGCATTTCTAAAAATAATCTTTTTACGCAACCGTTATTTTATGTACCTATACCTCTGACAAGTTTATTAGGCCTTTTCGACACATTTGGTTATAACACGGACCTATTAATTCGTTAAAAGTTTTTCATTATACAAATTCAGAATTAGATTTCCTTATAACTTTCACTTACAGTGCATCTTAGTTGGTCGTATATAAAATGGAAACTGCCAAAAGATCGTTTTGCCGGCCATAATGTTATCGTGTACATGGACTCGAACATGCATTTCGTCAGACGCCTTTCAGTGACTCATGTATCTTATATAATTATCTCCCTTTCAATATGCACTGAATCGTCTGGGCCGCTCTGGGAAGGTGCGGGTTTAACCGACACGTGATCGATTTTAGTGTGCAGTGTTCAAATCAAGCACATAAGACTTTTGCTGGGGCGAGAAAGACAAGTTTATTCGACCATTTAACAAATACGGTGTGTTAAAACACCAAAATACACAAAAGAAAATTGACATTCCTCGGGCCTCGCGTAAACTTCGTTTTCCATTTTTGGAGATTTTACGATACCGGAAGTGTATTCACCCTGGACGCATGCGCTGACACATCTTCCTGTTCCGCGTGGGAAGCCGTAGGGCGTTTTGACTTCCACCCCTGTGAGCAGAACAACAAAAAGTGACTGGAAAACAGTAAAAAGACAAGGTAAAGAGGTTTAAGATTGAAATCATTTACAACACACAAGCGTTGACAAACCGGATATGTATTTAATAAGCAAACTTTCCGCGCTTTAGTGTTAATCATCAACGGTGTCAAACCGGCGTCTCGTTCACTTTACGATATCGAATACAGACCGTCTGATTCAATCGGGTTCGCGGGTGAGTCAACACTATACTGCACATCAACATATTATAAGATATCGATTACTTTTGCAGATGTTTATGAGGAAAAGTAAATTTCGGCATGTTTTTGGACAAGCCTTAAAAAGAGATCAGTGTTATGACAACATCAGAATCACGAAGAGTTCCTGGGACTCTCGGTACTGCGATGTCAATCCAAAGTACGTCGCTGTCATCACAGAAGCTGCTGGTGGAGGCTCGTTCCTTGTGGTGCCACTTTCTAAGGTACGTGTATAATTCTTTCCTGTTAGATTGTATTGCATGGTATCATAGTAAATACTTCCTTGTTGAGTGATAAATCCATATTTATGCACTATTTCAGTGTGGTCAAATCCAAATTTGGCTATCATCTGGGTGATTACTTAACCCCATTACTTTTTATCAATGGTTTTCCTTTCTGAAACTCGAGGTCATTAATTTTAATATGCCTCTTTCAACGACTATGAATATGAGTTATGCTGGCATGACACATGACATGGGGAAATGTATGCTTATCTAGTATATAATATCTACATGATCTAGTTGCCACTCAGATTGTAGAACTTCCTCATAATGTATTATTTTATGAATATCCTATTAATGGTTGTTATGGAGAGAGAGATCATTGCAGGTTTGAAACTTATCCTTTGTCACCTAGTGAGTGACTATTAAACATCATGAAGAACAAGCGACATTTGTTTGTGGATTGACATCTGTCAGGTTACCATAGGTTTCCAGCACATGAATTTTCATTTGCTCCATGACGGCCACTGTTACTAATAGTGCTGGGACGACGATTGGTGGATCTCAATATTTTACTTTTTCGCGATTCATAACTTGAGGTTAATGGCTGTTACACCAAACACTAATTAGTAGTGTAAATTAGTAGAGAAAAAGTAAATATTTTCATCCATTGTGACATACTTGACACTGCCAACTGTAAATCATCAGTGTGCCAGGTATATACATGTACTATTCTGTCTATGAAAAAGATGGCTTATCAGATCATGAACAAGGTATAGTGCTACATATCGGATCGCATAGTTGGTGTATTGTCCAAGCCCTAGTTACTAATATCCAAATGATAATATAACCAAAACACCATAATTAACATATGAGTAGCCGTGGTGCTTAAGAAAGGGCCAGAGGACAGTTTTGTCAAGCTAAAGATACAATCAAGTATGTAGGGTGCTTGGTTAACGTGGTTAATTCATGTTTGCATTGATCATGCCTCTGTGGCATTAAACAAATAAGCTTCACTCTTTTAGTTTCATCCTCTACTTAATATGCTAATGGTTTACTTGACACTCATTTCCAGTTTTTGTTTTCATGTCAAAACTTTACTAATTTGGAAGCTCGGGCAATTTTTAGTTATTACAATAATTACTGTGATACTGATTCTTTGCAGGTATAAGTTTGCTATGTACTAAGCTCAGAGGAATATTGACTCTACGGACAAGGATAAAAACAGGATAAAAAATAAGCTGTGGGGTACAAATATCCAATTTGTTGAGTCTACCTCTGTTAAATACAGTACAGTGTTGATGCTTGTTGGCAGAAATTGGTACCATTGTCCAGATATGTCATGTAAACAGCTCCTACATTAATGTATTTTGTATTGTCTCACAGATTTCAAGAACTGAATGCACAATGTTAGGTTTCAAATGTTAAATTTTGTGGAGTTAAATCTCCATTTTGTCATGACAAAATAAGACACGAAACTCTGTTGTATTAGCCAAAGTATTGACATGTTTGAGTTAAGGGTAAAATCCAGTGTTTTCAGTGGGTTATCAATTTGAAATATGAATACACTGATGCTAACCATTTAGTAGATGTTGTATAAGCTCAAACATTATTTAATAAAATCATTATACTTTACTATCATATATAAGATAGCTATGTGATAAATCACAAAAAAACAATAATGAATGGAGTGTGGTTTATTTCACGATAAACATCTCTTATCATGACATCATTTCTGGAGATTCAAACTTGATGCCCCTATATTGGACGTTATATTTTAGAGGGGAGTGACGAGTGAGTTGTTCCAGTTAGATGTAGCTAGGTAACACAGATAAACGCGATTGCATCCCAAAGTCAGATAGATATGACAATCGGCATTGGGAGGAAAGGTACAGGTAATCGATCCTTATAAGAAATAAGGGACACCTAGTTGTTGTTTCTCATACAATAAAACACAAACGCTGTGCCCCTCATGGTTTATTCTCCCTGCAGTGTTTTATTGTATGATAAACAACTCCCACTTGTCGTTTATTTCTTGAATAACACACACATTGAAAGTGTGTAGCACAGCAACTTCATAAACCAACTTGAAGTGGGCACCCAGAGAACGTTAAGCAAGCCTCTAAAGGTTTGGTTCTACACCACATGTAACTACATATATTATTACGTCACACTGCTCATTGTGATGCAGAAAGTATGACGTGACATCACAGACGATTTTAGCAACGCTCCAAATTTCAAGCTTCCTATACTCACTAAACATCTTTCGATTCATGCTTTCTGTCCAAAACGTGTGGCCGCACATACTTTGAATTTTGTAGCAGCCACAACTACATTTTGTAACCATGGTAACCTATTATTGTACATAATTATTTATAACGACTGAGGTTTGGTACTTTTCAATAAATATTAGCGTTTAGGCTGTTTCAATCAGACGTTGTTGTGATAGTAGAATACATGTTATAGTTGGTGGGCAAATATTTAACATGTTTTATGCATTTAGTTACCACGGCAATGGCATGAATGTGTGTTTCCTTATTGACACTTCCTCCAACATGTCATAACTGATATGATCATACAATTCCTGGGGAAAAATCATGCGCAAATGTTTAAGGTTTCTAAGCCTATTGTTTCAGTGCTTCCAAGTAAATGTTTTTGTTTCACAAGCCTAAGATTTGCTATTTCATTTTATATTGTATACATGAGGAATGCTGGGAAAGAATGTTCATGGGTGCTTTTTCTATTCTCACGATAGATCGTAAATTGATTGATAAGTCTACAGACGAACTATCAGTCTTGAAATTGTATACAGTTCCCTGCACTGAAAAGTGCACTAAATAGACATTATATTGTGATAGTGCTATTATGAGCAATGTGTGGACTGTCCTTGAGAAACATGGTTTGACTTCACCAATACAGGAAGTACATGTGCCTGTCTAGAGGAGGTCAACACAAGCATGAGGGCATAGTTCAGTACATTCTACCGTATTTGAAAATGAAATTGAGATGAATTGAAGATTATTTGTGGTTTCTTTTAACTAATAAGGAAATTTTAAGTTCAGCGTACTGTATTTTATAACTAGATTAAAACTTTGCATAAGGTGAAAAGAAGTTTTTGACTCTGTCTGTTTGTTATTTAGGTAACTGTTTAAGGAATTAGGTTGCTTAACTTTGTTTTTACATTTTTTATATATTTTTGTCAGTAAATATTTTGGATCCCTGATAGCGAAAAAAGAGAATGGAACTCAGGGTAGTACTGCATAGCGTCATATTATCAATGTAAACATAAATCCATATTAGTAATGGTAATTGTCAGCTTGTTTACAGAGTAATTGATGGATAATTTTAGTCCACATAATAACACTAAATTCTGATAAAAATGAAGTTAAGAGCCGAGTTCAAACTTATCTTGATTCATGTCTTAAAGAATTTGTTAATGACACTGACAATGCCCTATCAAAAGTTGGTACTGTCATGAAAATGCCTTAATGCAATTTGTGTCTATCAAAATCACTGCCTTAAAACAGCACTTTCATCATGTTCCTTATAGTATTGGCATCAGTATCACTGGCATTGCTTGTCGTGATTCATCATCAATGTAGGACTAGGAGTGATGTAACTCAAGTGCCCTTGCCCTGCTTACTGATTCATGTTGATAGGTGATCACACTGATGGGATGGTTTTACCATGCTGTAACATGTAGATTCAAAAATACTATTTGTGTCTAAAGCTATACGAAAAGAATAAATAAAAAATGCTGTTTGTTTGGTTTCATATGTCAGTGGTTTTCCACAGAATTATTTAAGAAAATAATGACAGAAACTTATTAGAATATGGAAATTCCATTTTTTGATAGAAAAAAAAAAGACCAGTTAATATGAAGAGTAGTACAACTCGGAATTGCATATTATTTTTCCCTCGTGAATTAATGTTAAAATTCCTCCTTAGAACTTACGAAACTGAACCACTCTGGACAGATTTTCTGTAATTCCTCATAGGTCATAGGTTATTTTTCAGTTATGTGATTTGTGATTGTAAAAGCTGCTAATGGTTGACAGGGATCTTAGTTTCATTGGTAGCACACTGTGTGAAATGACTGCATAGCTGACATCTTATCCTTGGTATTTTATTACTGCTGGGAGTTGTGCTCAGTGTCACATGCCACCACAGTAGTGTCATGTGTTACAGACAAGTACTGCTGGGTGATAACAGAGGTGATAACACTGAATTGCTGAGCAGATTGTGTACCGTTGCATTCACTATATTAATATAATAGGTCAGTCGTATGTTTGCTTTCTCCCGCCTATCAATAACCTGATTTTGTGGCCCTTCCTAGGTCATGTCGATGACTAGTCTGAAGTGTACACTCTGGTACTTGCATGCTTTTGGTGTCACAATTTGCAATGGGGAGTTGTGTCCCTAGTCATGACAGAATTCTGTGACCACAGGTTTAAATACCAGACTTTTCCCCAAAAGTGATTTTTGGTTTGTAAGCATTATGTCCATGCCTGTGGGTTTCACGGAAGTGGTCAGCATCGACATGCATCACTTGCTTAATCCTCTCACATTTGTTTCTTTGTGTCATTTGTTTGTTGTTTAACGCCACACTCAGCAATATTCTAGCTGTATGACTGCGGTCTGTAAATAGTCAAGTCTGGACCAGACAATCCAGTGGTTGATATCATGAGCATCAATGCACACAATTGGGATACAATCACATGCATCAACCAAGTCAGCGAGCCTGACCACCCGATCCCATTAGTCGCCTCTTACAACAAGCATAGTTGCTTGTTACAGCAAGTATGGGTTGCTGAAGACCAAATCTAACCCGGATCTTCACAGGTCCATCTCGCATTCAGCTCTCTCACTTAAGTTCAAGGGGCTTAGTCAGACACTACTTCCTCATGTTGATGTATCCAGCTTATCATGATCATGTGTCTGAAAAAACAAACATATGTGGCAAGCTCATCACTAGTATCAGTGTAGTATAAAAAATCAGAATT